GCAATTGGTTAGGATTTAAAACAAACACAGCTGTTGAATCTCCAATCAGAATGCACCATAAATATTTTTTTAAATTTAAAACTTAATTAAGAGCCCATCAAATCATCTGCTTTATCTCTGAAAACTTGATGCATGGTCATGTAACTTAAATTTCTTATAGCAAAGAAGATATTCTAAAAAAAAAAAAAAAACAACCAGCTCAGATATCTCATTAAATGTTAAATTATAATTAACAGAAAAATAAATAAATATAAGATATTTTTAAGAATTTTATTATCTTTTTATAACAAGTTATAATAAATTGTTTTGTTTGTGTTAATAAATAAATCATAAAAATTATACCTTTTTTTACCATCATAATTTAAGTTTGCATGCAAATGTTTAACTATAGGTTTAAGCATGCCATGAGATAAAAACAGTTGAAAATCATTGACTTATAGCATCAACTGACTTTAATCTAGCTTTGATACTTGCAGAAGATTCTTTGCATTTTCATTCCAAATTTTCTATGGATAAAATTTATAAACTTTGATAGTGATATTTTTTAAGACAGTTTAAAACAATAGTTTTTAAATAAAATTTAATTTTGAACATGTTTGTTGCAAATTTTAATGAAGAAAAAGGTGAGAAAGGTTTTTAAATATAAAAATATATATATAAAATATTCTTACAACTAAATTTTTCTCAGTGTGTATCAGTGTTAAAGTTCTTGTGTTAAAGTTCCTTGTTTATAGTTGTTTGTTAAGATGAAAATAAATGTGATTTCTTTGTACATATGCATGAGAAAAAAGAGGCAAGGGAGAAAGTAAGGAGGAAAATGTATGTACCAAGTAGTTTGGTAAGGAAGAGTGTGTCATGTAGCTGGGTGAATGAGTAAGGGAATCTTTTTTAAGCTGAGGTATGTGGTGAACTGTTGCCTTTTGTTGCCATTCCTTACTAGCTTGTCTGGACTAGAAGCTTTGCTTAAATCCTCTTCAAGAGGATCATAAAGCATGGTTTTTATTGTTGGCAGGAACACAACCTGTTGGTTGAAAAATGTTAAATATTTATTTTCAAAGGATTAATTTATTGACCAGAAGGATATGTGAATACCCCGACTCAGAAACCATTTTTGTCATTTGGTGTTTGATTGTCTTGGTGTTTATTTCTATCTTCACTGCACATATTCATAACCTAACACAGTCAATCTTTTATTTATTTAATCAATATATTTTGGTTTTTCTACAGTACTTAAATATTTTTTGCTGTCAGGAGTTAACTACCATTTTCTTTGATAATATCTTCTGATTTTAAAAATGCACCACAGGTCGGATCTATGTATCAACTTGGTCTTTTCTGGGTTATTACTTGCTATTATATACACATATATTAGACAAATAGATTTTATTCAAGACAGAAGTAGGTCATCTTAAATGTCATATTTCCAAACATTTATGAGAGAAAATGCAACTCAATACTTTTATCAGTATTTTTTTTAGAAAGTATTATAAAACACCACTCTGTCAAGCTGTTCATTTTTATTTAAATCAATAAAGTATATTAAAAAAATATAATATAAAGTTATTATTAAATAACATAAAAATGTATGCCTGTCAGAATTGTTATATAAATGAGTGCAAATTATAATCCATTCATAGTTTAACTTTTAAAAAGGACATACTTTTATTTGCTGTTCATTTCCTTTCATTTAGAGGTAAGCATTCAGTAATTAATATGTCCATTTTTACCATCTTTTAAACAATTTACACTGTTTACATGTGGACTGTTTTCCTCATCTTTGTTGTCATTATCACAATGTTTTGCCCATTATGACCTCTGGCCTTCATCAGGTAAATGTCAGTTTGGGTATCCTATGAGTCCAAGTATACACGGCCCAACACAGGGATTGAACTCACAATGACTATGTCATCAAATTCACAAACCCATGCTTTAATCCACTAGTCTTGTGGGAATAGTCCAGATGTAAATAATAAATAACTTCTCATTCCAGAAATTCAAACGGAAATTTCTAAACTGTTTACAAAAGCACTTATATTACTATAATAAATGGTGTGTAACTAAAATCCTTCAAAATGGCTAATAGTTCAACCAAAAGCACTTGGAATCAACAAAAGTTGGGATAATTTCTCCACTCATTAAATTCAGAACAGAAAACATTTGCTTGCATACAAGAAAAAGATAATTAAAAAAACTTAACATTAGTACCTTATCTGTCTTATTTAACAAGACATATATTAAAGAAGGATTGCTGCTCAAATATGTTTGTATACATTTGGTATATCAACTCTTTATGGTTCATTTAATGCCAAAATTTTATTTTCTTGGGAGCATTAGTAATTTCTTTTACAAAAAATGCATTGCTGGTAATATTTTTATTTTTTATAAAAATATATTGCTGGTAAATTTTTTTTACTATGAAAATGTATTGCCAGTATTTTTACTATAAAAATGTTTATACTTTCATAGTGTTTTGACCCCATTTTTGGGGTTAACTATTTACCCATAGCTGGGACCCTTACAAGTACTACTATCCTGGGTCGGGGTAGACCTGGGAACAACAGCAATTAAGAGGCTGTTCCATGCTCCTTAAAACCTCCTGATCAGAGACCTTGTTGCCAGATGTAGTTTATACCCAACATGTCTGCTCAAATAAACACTTATTAAACTACCAGATATCTCAGCTTTGAATATAATGTCATTTTTAGGGGAAAATATCAGGTGGAGTCTTATATGCCATTTGATATGACAGGCTAGAAATACAATGAAACAAGTGAATTTGGAAAGTGAACTACGTAGGCCAGTAATGTACGAGTTATTTAGTAGTGTTCTTAAAGCACTGAAGATGCTGTCAATAACACTCAAATTATTTTTCCAAACAGAGCTGAGGTGACAATTCTTTCTTCAAAAGGTTTAAACTATTTCATCAAAATGTTTATCTGTAAATTGTTTTGCAGAATATAATGAGTAAGAGTAGGATTCGGTTTCTAATCTATTATATTTTACAATAATAACTTATACAGAGTTTCTCAACCAGTGCATCTAGGGGCACTAATGGTCCAGGAGTAAGAGTAAATAATAAGAATAGTTATAATGCACTCTGAAATGTAGCCAGGTACACCTCAAGTTAACAGAAGAGTAATTTATGAATAATTTTTGTATTTAACAAATATTTATTTTTAAAAAGCTAGAGACATCAAGGACATGGCTTCCATGTTTAAGTCAAGTCTTTCATCATTTGATATTAAATTCTTTAATGTTTAAGGAATAAATAATCCTTTCCCTTTTTCCTTCCTCAAAGTATTTAAATCAGTTATTATTGACTTTTCTAAAAATATAACAGATTCTTCATAAATCCCTTTAAATGTAAGCATTAGTAAATCCCTTTCTTCACACTTTATAGATGGTGTGGGAAAATGAAATAAAATCAAATAAATAAAATAATAATAAAGAATAAAAAAAAGAAAAAAGTAATACATTTTTCCCTGATGTTAGTAATAAATGAACTGGAAAGGTTTTTGGTCTTCTGTGCAATTTTATGACTCTAGTTCCAAAAAGGACAAACCTCTCTCTTACAACTTTTCAAAACATAGTGTTCCCACATTGCAGCTTTATTCATGAAGTAAGTACTTTACTCATTCCAACCCAACACAAAGCTGACTTGAGTTCAACCATTATAACTATTCTTATCATCACTTACCCTAACTTACTCCTGGACCAGAAAAAGAAAATGGACATACCCAAGAGATATTGAGATATTTTCATTACAGTTTCTATAAAAAAAAGAATAAAGAATCCATAATAGAAATCAAGTTTTTCTTATTCTGCATTAACTATTTATATGTGAACACACATTCACCCCTACAATACGTTAACAATGCAACTTTAAAAACCATAAGTGGAATCACATTGGGATCACCATTTATGTTTTTTTTTTATTATATATTATTATACTATTTGATTTATTTGATTTTATTTAATTTTCCCAAAATGGTGAGAATTGAAGTTGAGGCATTGTCTGGTGAAGGTTGACTTGTGATATATGGAAAATGAAAACTGATTTTTTGGGGGAATGCTAAACCAAAATTTCATATTTTAAAATTTCATGACTAATTTTTCCTTATTAAAATTTAAAGTGTACCTCAGAGTTTTAGTTATGCCTGGAAGTAAAAAAGGTTAAAAAAACCACTGCTTTATAGGATCAAAGATTTTGTATTATGAAAAAGTTAGGCATGTTGCAATTGAATATCTACAGAATGTATGCAAGATATTTTTGTATTTAAAAACAGTGAATATTACTAATTGCACTTGTAAAAATAAAAAAAATAAATATGCCCATCTTTATAATTTTCCATAAACAATGATCTATTTTCAAATATGGATATACAATATTTCCTGTGCAATAATCTAATAGGTTTGAGTGGTTGGTTGATTTTACATGTCAACTTTACAACTTAATAAGAAATCAAATCATAAAAATTTAAGGCTGTCTCAGTGACATGTACTCAGGACATGTAATTGGCATCTGATTGGCTATGATTAAAAGTAGAAAAGCATTCTTATGGGAAAAAAGCTATGGTTGCTTTCTCATAAGTGATAGTTTAACCCTTGACACAGTCAAATAAAAAAAGTTAGACTAAACAAAAAATTTAATATTATTCTCAATCTCAACATCACTCAAGCACTTTTTGTATCTCTTTTTCACACTATTTTTTATATCAGGACTTAGTAAAAATGAATTGCTTCCTCACTTTTTTACTTTTTACTCATTCTATCATTACAATGTTTTATTTACTGCATTTTCATAACACCAAAAAAACTTCTCACATATATAGTACACATTTTATAAAGACAAGACTGAGTGCAGGTAAGAAAAACTATTTACTATTATCTATAATCACAAGTTCTATCTATGAATATAATTGTTTTGCTGCTATTCCATGGTAATTGCAATTGTATGGAAAGTCAAATATACAAATTTTATATTTATTCTTATAACAGCTTATGGCCATATCAAGTAGTCACTAGTTCCCATATGATCACCAAATATAAGCACCATTGAGCCTAATCAGTACCTAGATGGGTGACCTCTTGGGAATATCAGGTGCTGTAAGCTTGAATGCACATGTAGCATAATGAATAATGGCTCAGAATTGTTAAACAGAGAAACAAATTCTAATTCCCATTGTGTTCGTTATATTCACTTATGCACAAATATCCTTGGAAAATGTATGAATCCCCCTCTTACCCCCCAGATATGGGTTAATTAGTAAGAATTGTATCAGTAAATCATTATTATTGCCATAAGTATACATGGGTAAACACCAAATAAAGTAAAAACTGGTAGCAAATTTCAATTCCTGTCTGAATTTCTGGGATGAGGTGTTATCATTATTTACACCACGTGTAGGAGGCACGGTGGTGTAATGGATAGCGGCTCGGCTTGAGGAATCTGGGAGCCAAGTTCGAATTCCAGTTGCTTGCCATTACTTACACTTACGTGCTAATATCCTTGGGAAAGGTATGAATCCTCTTCTTCTCCCCACAGCTATGGGTAAATAGCAGGACAAACCAAGTTCTATAGCCTTGGATGGCAACTGGCCTACCACAGAAAGAAATGGCAACCTACTGCGGGAAAAAATTTGCCCCGTCATTCACATATCAAAAGATACATGATCGCCTAAGTGTGTATCACACATTTCACATAAGTGACTGACCGTGTCAAACTGGCAGCCCACGGGCCACATGCAGCCCTTTATATGCATCTTGGCAGCCCTCATAAAGTTTTCTATTTTCTATATGGTATATCAAGAATTTTGTCTATGTTGGTAATGTAAATTATTTAAAAACAGTGAGATTTTTTTCAATTGGTATGATTAGATTGTTTATTCTATCTCAATGGTTTTTTTTTTTTTCAAATGTCAGCAACTATTTTTAACTTCTGGTTAATCATGTGATCATCCTTGACAATTAAATAAGAACAAATGTAAAGTGAAAACGTTCGTAATTTTGTAATATTTTGTCTTAAAAATGCCAAATTCTATTCCATCTTTTAAAAAAAGAAAATTATCTGAAGAAGAACATGTGTTTCAAGAAAAGTGGGAATTATAGTACTTTTGTACCACTGTTAATGGAAAGATAAACTGTTTGACTTGCAACCACTGCATTGCAATGCCAAGAGAGTATAAAAGATATTATGAAACAAACCATCAATCTTATGATAAATATCAAGGAAATATGTGTGTTTCAAAAGTGAATTCAAGGTTAACTTTACACAGCAACAAAGCTTTACAAAAATTCAGAAAGGCAATGTTAGTTCTGTTACTGCTTTGAACTCTGCAAAATGATCACCATCAGTGGAAAATCTTACAGTGAAGTGATGTCTTGTAAAAACAGCTGAAATTGTATGTCCAGAGAAGTCACACTTATTTCAAGACATTTTATTAAGCAGGAACACTGTTGCGGAACAGATTGATGAAATGGCAGGTGATTTGAGTTGACAGTTGAAAACTTTATCATAAAGTTTTGAACATTTTTCTATTGCTCTGGATGAGACTATTAACATAACTGGAATAGCACAGCTTGCCGCTTTCATCAGGTTTGTGACAATGAATTTCAAATTTACGAAGAACTCATGGAACTGGTCCCAATGCATGATACTTCAACAAGCCAGGACATTTTTGAGAAAGTTGAACAGCTTCTCCATGAGTATGACCTTCATTTGAGTAAACTTGTGTGTTTATCTACTGATGGTGCTGCCAATATGGTTGTGAGACATAATGGTGTTGCTGCCAAGTTAGGTACAAAAATAGAAAATATCCAGATTCAACATTCAAGCATTTTCACTGTATAATTCATCAACAAATCTTATGTTCTAAGATTTTAAAATTAAATCATGTGTTGAGTTTTGTCATAAAAATAGTGAACTATATCAGGTTGTGCTCTGCATCACCATCAGTTTAGCCAGTTATTGAAACACATGAATAATCAGTTCACAATTGTCCCATTCTACACAGAAGTTTGGTGGCTTTCATGTTAAAGGTACCGGAAAGATTTTTTTTTTATTGCAACATGAAATTGTTATGTTTTTGGAGATGGAGGGTCAAAACACAAATGAATTGAAAAATGAAAGCTGGCTCCAAGATCTAGCATTTTTGGTTGACATCACTACTCAATTAAGTGACTTAATTTGAAATTACAAGGTAAAAATAAATTCATCACTCAGTTATATGATGATATCAAGTGTTTCATTTCAAAATTAGCTTTATTGAAGTCCCAGTTGTCACATGAAAATTTGATTCATTTTCCTATGTGCAAGGAGTTGAAAAAAAACTGCCAATACTGAGTCTGTATTTATCTTTGCTAAGTACGACAATTACCTGTAATTGCTGTCAAAGGAATTTCTGCAAAGATTTTGTGATTTTTCATCTTGTGAAGATCAGTTTGCATTATTCTCAGCACCATTCACTTTTGATGTTGCTCAGGCAGAAGAAAGTCTACAGATGGAATGACTGGAAATGCAAACTGACTCAACACTCAAGGGAAAGTACCTAGAAGTAGGGGTACCTAGATTTTTTTCATACCTTCCTCGGATATTTAAAAACTTCAGAAAGTTTGCCACAAAGATTATGGTGATGTTTGGTTCCACATATGTCTGTGAGCAGTTATTGTCATTTATAAAGGCCACAAGAATATCTTGGAACCAGATTAACTGATGAACATTTGTCATCTTTGATCAAAGTGGGATCTACACAGACATTCAAACCTGATACATCAAGAACAGTTTGTCTAAAGCAACGTCAATCATCAGGACAACATAAAAATGATTAAATTGTACTACCATGTATTGTAAGTATTTTGTATTTAAAATTTAGTTACCACTAGCTTTGAATAATGTAAGACTGTAAGCAGGTGTGGGGCTTGAGGCTGCAGATATGGCTGATGCAGCTCTCCATATGAGTTTGACATGCCTGATTTACACTATTTACATGTTGTCTATTATCCTCATCTTTGTTGTTGCTATCATAATGTTTAGGCCATTGTAACATCCAGCCTTCATCAGGTGTATGTCAACCCGAGTAACCTCCAAGTCCTTATTAGTAAAAATTCAGAAGATCTGCTGTCTGTACAACATCAGGATAATATTCAGAAGCAGTTCAACTCTACAGAGAAAATTCTGCTGGGCAAAGGGGAGAACATGAGCAAAAACTCTGTGTACTCCTTTCCTTGCAGTTGTAGTAAAAATGATAAAGTGAAACAAGCTACCCACTAAAAGTAAAACTGGAGGAAGATCGAAAAGCCGTAGTGAGGAGTGAGACAATGAAATCAGGCATGTCTTATCATGTATGCAAGGAAAAGGGTGGTCATCAACCCCTGTGGAATTAAGTGAAAATACTGGACAAGAAAGAATACTGGAGAGTTAGACATCTGAAAGAATCAGCACATATGCTAGGCTATGAGGACCTCCTCTAGGAGGTTAGGTTTCTGACTCCAAATTCTCCACTGAACAATATATTAATCTGTTTTTGTTCTATTTTAATTTGTAGTAAGTTCTGATAAAAAAATAAAAAATAAAATATATAAACATAAATAAAAAGAATTCAAATTAAAATAAGGTATTTGCACTTTCATTTAAAACCCTTATCTTTTTTTAATCTCTCTCTCTCTTTTTCCTTTCTTCTATATACTTCTCTCTCAACCTACAAGGCAACCCTCAAATAAAAAGAGGAAGAAGAAAAGACTGAACCTGGCCAAAAACACTGGAAGTTTACAGGAGCAGAACTTACATATTTGTGACTGAAAAATACCAAAAATCAGTTTTTCTGTTATAAAAAAAATGAAAAAGGAAGGAGCACCAAAAAATAAAATAAAATAATTTGGCCAATCAAAAAAAATTGACACAAAGATTCTTTTTGATGTTCACACCAAATTCTCAAGCCTATTCAATAGGTTAAAAACCTAACACCTCAGATGACCAGAATGACCTGAGGAGAGGATGGAACAAAAGAATGCAGCCATACATGAGACATGAAAAAGCAGTCAAGAGGTCATCTGCTACTGACATTTTCACCCTGTTTCAGAGTCAAAAAGAACACAGCGGATTGACATCTGACCTAATTTCTAACATTACTACTACCCCTACCATGGTCTTCAAACTACTGAAACAAACATTTCTCCAGACTGTTAACAATATCCACTTTGTTAACAAACTTTTTGCTATGCCGAATACCAAGGACTTACTCATCACTTTAAAGAAAATGAATAAAAATATATTTTTAACTCTCGAGTCAGTTCGTCGTATTCACAAAGTTTCTGATAAAATAATTATCCTACCACCTATCCACACTGGCAACATTCTAATATAAACACATTTGTCACAAATCCATTCCAATCCCAGAATTTATACATTTTACTTGACTCTAGCATGATAAAATATATGACTATGTAGTTTAATTAAAAACAACATGTTGATATATACAGTAAATTAGATAAGAAGGAATACAAAAACAGACATGACTGGACAGAAATATTCACTGATGTTTAAGTCTGTAAACCAATTGTATAAACAAAAATCAGGAGCAGTCTTAGAGAATTGAAGAAATAAAATTTCACACGACTCCAGAAGTCAATTGCATACCCAATCAAGTTAGGAAACAGATCTGTTAAAAAAAAGGGAAAACACATCATGTCGTAGATGTCACTGATCCTGCAGACTACAAAATGAAATGAAAAGAGAGTTTAACTGGAACAAAAATCATCTGGACCTTGTGAAATATAATAGTGACAGTTGTACCCATCATTACTGGCAAACTTGAAGCAGTACTCAAATAGAGACTTGCAAAAGGGATTAAACAAATTGAAAATCTGACAAAAGATTAAGAAGACTATAGTGACTGTGGGATAGTTTTTGGTTGGGATTTAGGCCTTGAATAGATTAACCCACACAATAGAATAGATATGAAATAAAATAAATCAAGTATTATAAACAACAAAAGTGATAGATTATGCAGACTATCAAATACCGACTTTCTGAGCTTCTGTGTCACAAAAGGTTGTGGAAAAGATAATATGTTGCATAATATAGTTTCATTCTTATTCACAGTATATGCTTTCA